ACCGAGCGGGTTACTGCTCTACTGCAACTCAAATATGCTTTCGTATAAATTTTGCACGTAAACGGATAGACAGACAGACAGACAGACACTCACCCATACGCATACACGCGCAGACTCCCTTACAAACACACAAACACACACAAGTGTGTATATATCATGTATTTAGCTACATGTAATAATATATCTTGACATTATGTATTGTTTGGTCGCTTGAGCACAAGGGGGCTATCCCGAAAAATACTGTTTTGAGAAAGTCGAAGATAAAATTTGTGCCCCTTGTTCAGTTTGTTTAAAAGACAATGATCATTTTTACTATACAAAGAAATATACACACCAATGAAACCAAACTTCTCCTATAGTAGGGCAATGTCTATTTTGGGTGTTGGTCAAGATTTCTGAAAACCCGCAAAATCTGGCTCAGCCCGCTTGTCCTTAAAAGCGACCATTTATTTATAATAATATTATTATTGTCCGGGAGCACAATTGATACGCCGGGCTTGGGCGTAGAAGGCCTTGTCTTGATAGGCTCGGTCCAAGGTCCTTGGCTCGGTCCTATCGGAGATGGACTACAAAGTTGGCTTCTTGAATAACCTTACACAGCTGAAAGGGGCGTTAAACTCATACTTTTCTGTTTTCAAACACAAGAATCAAGCCCTAGCCCCTAGGCCCACAGCCTAGGCCCACAGCGAAGTGTGTAGGCCCAGCCCACAGCTCAAGCCCCATCAGCTGTGTAGCTAGCTGGTGGGTACACCTGTGCGCCCCACACACGGCGGTATTTATGCAAATGTTAAGGGGGGAAATGTTGCGCACTCGCTCAGCTTTCTGCCCAGATACAGAGATGGACAGCCCAGGTATGCGGGGACGTGTCATTTTATGCAGATGAGCGCTCATTTACATTATATTTCTGGGTCGCAGAGTATATCAAAGGATTATATTAGCTAAATCCTTCGGGGTAAGAAAATAAAGAAAACCCTTTTTCTGGTGACATCTGTCTAATCTCTTTCTTTTTTTTCTCCCCCCCTCCACTGTTTCTCTCTCTCTCTCTCTCTCTCTCTCTC